TGGATCTGATGTGTATGGGATCTCTGTACTATCTTTGTACCTTTTCTGTTAGTTTAAAACTATTCTAAAATAGAAAGCATGTATTTTTTAAATGCTATAGGAGTTCAGTTAAGAAAAATTCCTTGAAATTTTGAAACTAAAATACTAAACCCAACCAGTTCTTTTCCTCATTAATCACATACATAAAAGTTTCATCAAATGAAAAATAGGTATTCTAGGCAAAAGATGAGTTAAGAAAGTCTTAGTGGCACCTGAAAAAAGTTATGAGAGACTTCAAAGTATACTTAAGATTATTTGGGACCCCCAGTGACATAGCTTTGAAGCACAGATTGAAGAAACAGGACTTGGTCGTTTATATACAGTCTGATAAGAAACTGCCAAAGAATCTTAATAGTCTCAAATATTTAAATCTTAAATTGTGTAACTGGAGCCAATTATACAATGTCATCTATAAACAAGATACTTGGTAAAACTTTTTGCTCTGTACTTCATAGATTTGTATAACCACATGGGCAGCTTCTCTGTGCTTTTCCGCCTGAACTTAGAAATGAAATCTGGCTCTCCCTATATCAGATTATTTCACTCATGGCCTCATTAATTAGAAAGGAGAAGAGTTCAGTCTTTTCTACTCTCCGTTTTCTACTCCTTGCTTTTCCATACCATACTATGAAAGGTAACAATCTTCTCGAGTTAATTTTTTATTGTTATCATTTTATTTCTCCCTTTAGTTCCCTATGACTAAAATTTTTTGGTTGATCTCTTATCTCTAATGCATAATTTTTGCCTGAGTTCTCAATTTTCTTTAGTAATATCCTGAATATTTTGGGACTTTCTCTACAAAAATACATAGACACGAATTTTCATATGTTTTAAAATGGTTCATAGGTACTTTGGAATCCATGTGCCACAGGTCGAGAAACCCTGCCTATCTGGAATCTTATTAATAATAATAATAGAACTGAGGTGACAGACAGACATTATTTTTCTTACAGTCATTTCTTCTAAGTCTTACGTGAACAATGTTAGCACTGAAGATGAACTTACATTAATAGTTCTTGAAGATATGGTGAATATACTTTGGACATCTTTGAACAGTTCTATAGCTCTAGGATAGTGCTTACTTTTGGTCCTGGGCTATACTAGCATGGCTCAAACAAGCTCTACAATTTGATATTCTAATATTTGGTAAAATTTCTGTTCTTGGTGTAGATGGACTGCATCCTGTGCGTCTTGAAAGATTAGTTAATCGGTATTCACATGTTGTGTGCCAATACATGATTTTTAAAAACATTTACTTTAATATTTTACTTATCTTTTGTATTTAGAAAGGAAAAAATACATTAGTTTCCCCCCCCTCCCCCGCCACAAGGACTGTTATAAAGTGAAGGCTGCCATCTAGAGACAGACTCATCATTGGAAATGTAATCACAGTAATTTGTTTTCAAGGCATTCTAAAAAATTTATAAGTATCAAAAATGTATCTTTATTCATAATTTGTGAGGTTCTTTTTTTCATTTTTGCACATACTATGTAGACAGATCCCATGCATCCCAAGATATTTATGATGAAGCTTGAAAGGTATCAAAGTGTCTCTTTCTTTGCCTTTCCCCCAGACCCCCTCCTCAAATGTTGAAAAAGACTCTTAAATGTAGTCACTGCATTACTAGGTAGCTGTTAATTTCTACATTTCTGGCATACTGATATTTATTTAGTGAATCCTTCTCAGTTTTAGTAGGCTCAACATTTCTTGCCTCAGAGTTTTTCTACCAATCCACCCATATTTATATCTAATCTTGATTTACAGTTTGCTCTTTATCAGACTAGGTTATGTAAAAATGAAACAAAAAATGGCCAGGCACGGTGGCTCATGCCTGTAATCCCAGCAGTTTGGGAGGCCAAGCTGGGTGGATCATGAGGTCAGGAGTTTGAGACCAGCCTGGCCAACATGGTGAAACCCTGTCTCTACTAAAAATACAAAATTTATTGTGTTTTAAGTAGAGAATAATTACACATGGTGATGCGTGCCTGTAATCCCAGCTACTCAGGAGACTGAGGCAGGAGAATTGCTTGAACCTGGGAGGCGGAGGTTGCAGTGAGCTGAGATCAAGCCATTGCACTCCAGCTTGGACAACAGAGCGAGACACTGTCTCGAAAAAAAGAAAAAGTGAGACAACAATAAAAATGATCCTGTCATATGCTTAGATTATCTCTAGTACATAACTGGATTACATTTTATTTATTTAGAGTCTATAATCCACTCTGGAAAAGAAAAGCTTTAAAATGATTTATACACGGAGCAATTACTTTGAAAGCATCTACTATTTGGAAGGCTCTTTTGCTAAGTGTGTTAGACAATGTTAGTGTATTTCAACCACACTTAGACTTCAGTAATTTGGGGTAAGCAAGAATGGTGTGTTGTAAAAGCTATCAACTTTTTTTGGGTGGCTGTGGGGAGTCTTGCTCTGTCATCCAAGCTGGAGTAGAGTGGCGCAATCTCAACTCACTGCAACCTCAGCCTCCCAGGTTCCAGAGATTCTTGTGCCTCAGCCTCCTGAGTAGCTGGGATTACAGGCATGTGCCACCCACCCCTGGCTATTTTTTTGTATTTTTAGTAGAGATGGTGTCTCGCCATGTTGCCCAGGCTGGTCTCATCCTGATCTTAAGCAATCTGCCCACCTGAACCTCCCAAAGTGCTGGGAGTATAGGTGTGAGCCACCATGCATGGCCAAAAGCCATTAATATAAGCTTAAAAGAGCCGTTTGTTATATTTGGATAAATTATTTTGCTGCTGAGTAGAGTTCTGTCTACTTTCAATCTTCTATGTACTTGTGTACCTAGTGGAGGGATGCATAGAAGGCTTGGAATTTCTGCCCTGGCTGACATCACAGAATAGAGAAGGAGGAGAATTGAAAATGACTGAGGAGGAACAGGGTTGAGACATTTCTTTAAACTGTGGTTCATAAATATGAGGATAAGAAAGTTTGCTGGGTCCTTCTTGACTTTTTTGACAATTTACCTCTTCATTGTCTTAACTTATCCCCATGAATAGGTACTAGGCATTTCGAATGGGGTGTTCAGTGCTGTTGGACCTGATATGTCTACTCTGGAGGTGGAGGCTATAGGTTTGGGTGATGGGAAAACCACTGGAATGACTTTCCCTGGTTTTGGGATAAAAGAGGTAGCTCGTCTCTTCAAACAGTATTTGAATCTGTGCATACGTAGGAATCTGACTTCCTGTAGAACTCAAGTTAGGAACTGGAGCTTTTAGCTTGCTTCCAAAATGGGCACGATAATGTATCAAAAAAAATGAATGCCCAAAGTAGGAGAGTCTAATACTGAGTATCTTTTATGCTACAGGCGCAATGCCAAATACTTTACATTTGTTAACTCACTTAATTCTCTTATCATCCTTATTTATTTGTTTGAATGTTTCCCATGTGCTAAGTAATGTTCCAGGCAATAGCAGTTAGAACATTGAAGAAAACTTCTCTGCTCTGCAGTGATATTCTCACCATTTAAAAGATTAGAAATCCTAGTTTCATAGAGATTAAGTGACTTTTCTAGTGTCCCATATCTGGTAACTGGTGGAGCTGAGAAACCCTACTATGTCTTATTCTAAAGACGTTGAGCCACTCTAGGATGACTTATTTTCTGAGGCTTCTGATGTATTTTTTAATCACTGCAACTACAATTACAGTCTGTTTTTATTGTTGTCTATATAGATATTTATACAACAATGTGTTTGCCAGCCTTATGTTCCATCTTTTGTGCCCTGTGATAGCAGATAACAAAAACACAGTATTTCTGGCAAACTTGTGTTGAGGATTCTTATTCTTGCCTTCTACTGAGTGCATATCGATAAGGATTATACAAATGTCTGATAGTGTTTAAGAGCAGTGTCTTTCAGTTTAGTTTTTTACGTTTCATTTTTTTATTTAAAATGTATTTATTCATAATTTTGTTTGAGTAATATACTCATGTAGTTCAAATTTTTAAAGTGCAAAAAGCATGAATGTAGTCTCCTTTGTTTTTCTAAACCTCAACTGCCCATTTCTCTTTCCTGGAGGCAACCAGTTTTACTAGAGTATCTTTGTAGAAATATTTTAATGTGTTCAATCAAATATATTTCAATATCCATTCTTTTTTGTGTTTGAATATATCCTATAGATCTTTCCATATCAGTCATAGATAGCTTATTTTTTGATAGCTCCGTCTATAGTTTTGATAGATTCCATTGACTTTGAGAGTCAATAAAGAGTAGTGGTTATTATAGTAGACAGTCTGCCTGCATGTAAACCATGGGTCTGATACTGGGAAACTTTTTTTTGCAAGTTGCTAAACCTCTAGATGCCTCTTGTCTCAGAAATAATAGTACATTCTTCATAGGGCTGTTGTAAAGATTAAATGTATAAACATCAAGTGCCCGGGAGATAGTAAGCACCCAAATATTAGCTGCCACCACCATTGTCATTAATATCACCTTTTTATGTATTTCATCTGATCTTTATGAGCATATAGGCTTTCTTTCCTTTTTTTTTCTTTATTACAAACAGTGCTTCAGGGATAACCTTTTACAGTCATTACTTTGCACGTGTGTTAGTCTGTGGATGTTTTGCTACAAGTACAATCTGTGGATCAAAGAGTGTGTAAATTTGTAGTTTTGGCAGACATTTACCAAACTGCATACTGTAGAGATTGTACCAAATTATATACTTTTATCAGCAATTTAACATAATTTAAATTATCTAGAACTTTATGGTTTATGGTAGCTTTCTGATGTTATGTCTAATTATGGTTAAAAATGGCAATTTCAAAATTCTTCCTTTTCCTTCTTAGGAGTACATTCCTGTCAGAAGGGCCTGATCAAACAACGTTTTATGTTTTAATATAAAGTATATGTTGGAAGGTTATTCTTTTGGGATTCTCACAGATAACTTGTTGATGCTTGAGAGAGTGGAAGTTGATCTGAAAGATTAACTGTAAAATCTGTCGTTCCACAGGTACTGTGAGAATAGAGATGTTTCGAAATATGCAGAATGCAGAAATCATCAGAAAAATGACTGAAGAATTTGATGAGGTATAGCATTCCAGTATTTGTACAAATTGCTTACTTAATACTTTCACATGATGAATATGTTGATTATCTCAGGTTTTGTTTTGATTTGATGTTTAGTGTAACTGAAGATCTGTTTTTTAATTATATATGATAATCTATGGTACTAATTCCAAAATTAATGATCTTTCGAGGTTTGATTATGTTGTGTGGAGTATTGAATAATTACTGGCAGGATAAGAAAATTAGTGGTATGAGGTAGAAGTAGATTCTTGACATTTATTTTGAAGACTGTCTCAAATTCCCAAATTTATAAATGCATCTCCAACAGTTTTCTGTTTGTGGAATGCTAATTGCATTAAAGGCTTTAAAGGGAAAACGGTTTGGAGGTCAGTGAATTCTAAGCAGAACCACATATTATACCTGTCTCACAGATTATAAAATCACGTTATGTTATTTAAGATTCCAAGACATCCTAATTAAGAAAAGCCCTGCTTACCTTCATTTAACCCAGAATTTCCCAAAATTATTTTACATGGAACTTCTCCCAAACCCCTGGAGGGTGTGTGTGTGTGTGTGTGTGTGTGTGTGTGTGTGTGTGTGAGAGAGAGAGAGAATGAATGTTAAACTTCTATTTGGGACACTCTACTTGAAAGTATTCTTTTTTTTTTTTTTTTTTTTTTTTTGAGACAGAGTCTCGCTCTGCTGCCCAGGCTGGAGTGCAGTGGCCAGATCTCAGCTCACTGCAAGCTCTGCCTCCCGGGTTCACGCCATTCTCCTGCCTCAGCCTCCCGAGTAGCTGGGACTACAGGCGCCCGCCACCGCGCCCGGCTAGTTTTTTGTATTTTTTAGTAGAGACGGGGTTTCACCGTGTTAGCCAGGATGGTCTCGATCTCCTGACCTCGTGATCCACCCGTCTCGGCCTCCCAAAGTGCTGGGATTACAGGCTTGAGCCACCGCGCCCGGCGAAAGTATTCTTTTCATTTAGAATACATGTTTTCTTTGCTTGGCTTCACAAATTAATCACCTTTCCCATTTTCATGGAAATATTCTCGTGAGCAGTTTTACACTGATTGTAAATGCTGAAATGTTTCCACAGTTTTATTTCTGTATTGTATTTATGGTGAAATGAATTTATATTATGTATTAGGCTACCATTAATTCCAGTTTTAACAGTCTGCCTTTTGATTTAAATAACATTTCTATTTTTGGTATGTGTTTCTTTTTCTTGACTTTCAGCACTGAAATATTGATTGTTTTCTAGGTCTACTCTTTGACAGGGAGTGGGCTTGGGGTTTTATTATTATTAATTTTAACTTGGAAAAAGTAATACAAACACACATGTTAAGACAAACAGTGTGTGACCCGGGTATTGGGTTTTTTGAAAGTTCATCGGGTGATTCTAATGTATACCAAAGCTTGCGAACTACTGGTTTAAAGAAAATTAAAAGAAAGCCAAGAATTAACTTAGTAAAACTCTTCACGTATCAAAATAGAATGAGATAAAAACAGAAATAAAGACCCTGTGAAAATGCACATATAACAAGAAAGCATGACTTTTGTTTTAGGATTACTAAATAACTAGAAGTTGAGAAATTCAGGAAAATAAATATATACTTTTTTTTTTCCTGGAGACACAGTTTCACTCTGTTGCCCAACCTGGAGCGCAGTGGCGTTGTCTCAGCTTACTCCAACCTCCACCTCCCCGGTTCAAGCAATTCTCATGCCTCAGCCTCCCAAGTAGCTGGGATTACAGGCCTGTGCCACCATGCCCAGCTAATTTTTATATTATTAGTAGAGACAGGGTTTCTCCATGTTATCCAGGCTGATCTCAAACTCCTGACCTCAGGTGATCCAACCACCTCAGCCTCCCAAAGTGCTGGGATTACAGACATGAGCCACCACGCTCGGCCAAATATGTACTTAAAAAAATACTCCTGTAAATATTGTTAACTATTATGGTATATTGAAGGAATAGTAAACTATTAAGAAAACTAAGAATGAGTTACATTGCAAGTGAAATGACTGAAAAGGCATTTCATATACCTAAACATATTTTCTCGCAGTATTTGAGAAGATCAACTTAATCAAAGATGACTTTAAAAAGCACCATTCAAGTTTTTTTTTGTTTGATAGTAAAGTAACACAGTTTGATTATGATATGAAGGTATTTATTTGAAGTGAAAATACTTACTAGATATTTGAGGCTATCCATTTTATCTTCTGTCACTTGAGGAAGATATTAGTCCTTTTGTTACTGTGCATACACCTGAGAAACTTGGTTTAAATGCGTGTATATTGTGAAATATACCTTATTTTAACAAGTTTATTATGTTTTTTTCTTCAAAAGACTATGTCGTTTGGCTTTCTGGGAGTTGAGGGGGTTAGTTTTGTTAAATTGTATTTTGTAAAATTCTGAAAGATCTGATAACTAGAACCACTGGATTCCAAGGGTCTAGAACGATGTCTAATTCTCAAGGAATAATCATTAAAATTTTATGGAAATTAATATATTGTTTTTACAGCAAAGTAAGGTAAAGGTGAGATGAGCTAGTTTGAAGCTGTTTAGATTTTCAGTAAAGTGATCTAAAAGTAAGTTATTGCCTGAGAAGTATACTTTGGCTCCCATTCTTTATTACAAACAGATTATTATAACATTTGTTAATAATCTTTTTAAAATACCTGTAAACCTGCACACAGCCAGCAGTGCTTTGTGATTGTAATATCAACCTAATTTAAAAATAAATTAATTCCCAGAGCAGTCTATGGGCTATTCAGTCAGTACATACACTTGGTTCTTGATAGAGCTAGCCGTAGAAAGCTAAAGCAAATTGATATTTCTTCCCCACATTTTTGGAATTGCACATTCATATGTAAAGTCTTTGGTATGTTTCCAAGGTCAGGTTGCATAGTTTTCATATGTTTTAAGTATAACTTTTATGCAGGGAAATTTTTGTAACAAAACACATTTAATGTATTCATTTAGTGCCTTTAATTCTTGCTTGTTCTTTTGCATTACATTGATAAATTGTGCGATTTTTGTGTATTGTGCTCTCTCCCGTGATAACTTATCTTGCAGATTTTTTCTCTTTTCCTAATTGTATGTACTTCTCTGAATTTATCCATTTCAGCATTTATCTAATCAAAGGATTAACATTATTAATAAGTATTAAAAGGGTTAAATAGTATGCAAACTGTGAAAAGGAAATATTACAGATATGATAGGGGAAAGCTCAAATTGTCTCTAGTCCCAAATTAAAGTCTCTAAATTGTTTCAATTGTATATCCCATCACTAAACATTTTTAAAACTATCATTCTAATAGTGAACACCTGTGATAAGCCTCCTCTCTCTTCACCATGCTCCTTTTCAGAGGGCTAACGTTTTTAGCTTGTGAGAGGAGTGCTTAGAAGTAACTACGTGGTGGCCAGGCATGGTGGCTCACGCCTGTAATCCCAGTACTTTGGGAGGCCAAGGTGGGTGGGCCACCCGAGGTCAGGAGTTCAAGAACAGCCAGGTCAACATGCTGAAACCCCATCTCTACTAAAAATATAAAAATTTGCCAGGAGTGGTGGCACATGCCTGTAATTCCAGTTACTGGAGTGACTGACGCAGGAGAATCGCTTGAATCTGGGAGGTGGAGGTTGCAGTGAGCTGAGATCACACCACTGCATTCCATCCTGGGCAAAAGAGTGAGATTCTCTCTCTAAAAAAAAAAAAAAAAAAAAAAGAGTATGTGGTAATTATCTGGGACCACCTTAGTTCTGAACTACATCTATTTTCTAAATATCTTATAAATAATGAATACATGAAAAGATTTTTTCCTTCCACCCTTGGTAATCAGAAGACTGAGTATATACCCTTGTTTGTTTACTGTATTAAAGTGTGCTTTGCAGCATATGTATATTGATAGAATTAAATGTATATAGTATTGCGCTATCATTATTTGTGTCAGTAATCTTTAACGGACAGATAAAGAAGACTGTTTCATACTATTATGATTAAAATACGTGATCACAAAGTGGTTTTCAGATATCACAGGCTAATTACTCAAGACTCAGTATTTAGACATTGTTCTAATGTTGGTAATGGGTCTATATCCTTGTTTTTAATAGTCTTCTTAATAATTTAAACTTTTAAGGTCATTTTCTTATTAGATTTTCATGGCTTTACTTTTATAGTGGACTTAGATGAACTCATGCAAGAAGTGACTGTGCCGCCACATTTCTTATTTGCTTATGATTACATACTCAGGTTTTTGTTGTTTCAGTTTTCTTGAGAAATCTGTGCTTGGTGCCTTTCCATTTTGCCAGGAGTTGAAAATAGATACTATTGGCCAGGTGCAGTGGCTCACACCTATAATCCCAGCACTTTGGGAGTCTGAGGTGGGTGGATCATTTGAGATTAGGAGTTTGAGACCAGCCTGGCCAATGTGGTGAAACCCCATCTCTACTAAAAATACAAAAATTAGCGTGGTGGTACGCGGCTATAATCTCAGCTACTGGGGAGGCTGAGGCAGGAGAATCGCTTGAACCCAGGGGGCAGAGGTTGCAGTGAGCCAAGATCGTGCCACCACACTATAGCCTGGGCAGTGGAGTGAGACTTCACCTCAAAAAAAAAAAAAAGACACTGTTAAGCTTAAAGTCATTGAATTGCTCATATGTAACTTAAAATAACTTAAGAAACCAGTGAGGAATGCCATTTCTACTGTCAACTCCTTTGAGTATTGAACTCTTTTTGCTACTCTTTTAAATTTGTTTTGTGACACAAAGCAATCTGAAATATGGACCAAGTGAGGGCATACCAGGCTTAATCTGTATATTAAATATTAGCAACAATTAATTTCTTTCTTTTTATAGATAAAAATAAATAGAAATAGAAGTTCTAATATTTTCTTGCAATACACCACTCCGTTTGTGTTACATACTTCACTGTGGAAACTGCTCCAAGATGAGAAAGGTAAACAGAATGTTAAAGAAACAAAATAGAATTAGAAATGACAAGTGCCAAAAGACAAATCAATAA